TGTACACCGCGCCCTCTTGGAAGAAGGCGCCGTAGAAATCGATGATGTAGGGAGAGACGCAGCGGTGGAGGATGTCGAGTTCCATGATGATGGCGGCGAATTTGGCTTCGTCGAGCTCGAGACGGATTTCTTTCATTGCCATGATGACACCCGTGGAATTCTTGGCCAGAGGCGTGTCGCTGGAATCGCCATTGTCCCCTATCGAGGCATTGGGTGCCAAGGAGCGAACCTGAAGACCCAGTCCAAGCCTTTGCTGCCGTGGCCGCGCGTGGCGCACCTTGTAGACTGTGCCGTAGTTGCCCTTTCCCAGCTCCTCGAGCGTATCTACCTCATCCAGGGATATACTGAAATTATTACCGCTCGAGAAATCAATGCCCTGACCATGGATAACAGCCTTCCCCGCAAAGCGAAGCGTTCCCTTCTCCGTATCCACATAGTTGGAGAACTTGTTGAACATCGACCCCCTATCAGTGTTATTCGCCGCCGGGTTTGCGCTGCCGTTCAGGCTCAAAGAAGGGCTCGCTGCGGGAGCCGCAGGACTTCCTGGTAATCCACCTAACTTCGGCATGTTTCTGCGCTCGCTCAGCGACGGTTTGCCGCCCTGTCGTGGAACAGCAGGCGCCGAGACAAGCCCCTGCGGTAGTTGTGGCCTATTACCCATTGGTAACCGCAGACCTCCTGCCATGTTACCGCCATTCTCGTCGGCCGGTGAAGCCGACGGTCGTCCACCAGGCGGCGTACCCTGGCGCGACAAATGGAAAGCCCTCATCTTCGCCTGCATATCCTGCGGCAAGCCGCCCCCGAAGCCACCGAGCTCGCCGGTATCGACGAGCGCACCGCAGGTCTCCTGGCATTGTTCAACACGCCGATTAGGTTTGACGAGGACGACATAGTCGATTGATGGCGCGGAGGATCGGAAATAGAGCGCACAGAGGACAGTCTCTCGCTGATTGGGGCCGCGGAGACGGGATTCGAGGAGTCGGCGGGCAAGGGCGAGGCGCCAGAGGTGTCTGCCGGTGCGGACGGGTCGGTGGGAGGAGCCATGCTGTGTTTAGGCGGTTATACCGTCCTCATGGGTGGTGAGCGTCGACACGAGGAATCGTCTGATGGCGCGCGTTGGAGGGAGAAATCAGTCTGTGAAAGGGATAGCTGCATTAGTTACATGCACTTCATATTTTTTCTGCGAAAACTGCGACGTACCGGAGAAGAGGACACAGCCAGATCCTGTCGTGATTCCTGAGTTGAGGGTTTGAGGGTGTCGCGGCGGGGTAATCGTCATGACCAAATTTTCGCTTCGCTCAGAAGCGATCCGGGCGGTTTCAAAATGAGCGGAAGCGATGTGCGGTTTCGCAATATGTAGGCTATAGGTACCACTACATAGTAATTTGTATATAAAGGTACATGAATCAATCATTGTAAGAAATTATCACTTCATCACTCCCACGCTCACTCCCACACTCACGCCCACGCCCACGCTCACTCCCGCTCTCGCTCCCGCACCCACTCTCAGCAGCTTCTAGGTCCCGAATTGGGTCCCGATCCTCTAGAGGAATTGGGTTGCCAGCTCGAAGAAGAGCTTTTACCCTCTTTTTCCGGAGGCGCTCTGCCCTCCGGGCCTCAACCTCAGCTCTTTTGAGCTGGTTATTAGCCTCGTTTCTAGCCTAGCGGGCTACCCGGGCTTCTTTGGCTGCAAGCTTCTAGGCTTGAAGCTCGGCTTTCTAGGCCCGAAGCTCGTGAGCGTGAGCAGCTTGGAGCTCACCTCAGAACTGAAGCTGGGCCCGGCTTCGGCTTGCCCGCTTCTTCGACTCCTCAACCTGGCGCCAAATAGCCCGTAGGTCGTGTTCTTGGAGCTGGCCGCCTACTACAACCTCTTCGGTTCCGGTAAGCCAATTGCAGTAGCTCTCTTTTGAGGGGCTACTAAAGCCCCCCGGAACCTGGTGTTTCTAGTACTATTGCCCCTCTTCTACAGCCCGAAAAGTAGAGGGTTTAGGTGTAGAAACCCGTATTAGTAGGGTAGGCGTAGTAGGCATAGGCGTAGGCTATGAGTAGGTGCATAGCTTCATAATAGCTGTATTACAGCTTATTGGCTAGACTCCAGCTTTCCGGAAAGCTGAGACTATTGTAGACTCCTTAAAAGTCTGCTTCCGGATTTGGGTGAGATCTCTCATGAAGGATTGTAGGTCGTAGGTAATGTCCATGTCTCGTATAGCTACGAGCACAGCTACTCTATGCTAGTGCTTATAAGGCTGGAACACTCCCACGTCTAATGGCTGTAAAACGTGTGTGAGATGTGAGGGAAAGGTGGATATAATGATGTTATGTTCTTCTGCTCCAATGACGAAGTCATGGCTTGTATAGCTCACATGAGAGTCGAGTAGTAGAACCTTCGTATCCTCCGAAGCTGTATGCTTTGCAAAATGCTCTAGCCACTGAAGAGCAAGCTGGCTATTTGAAAATCCAGAGTCTGAGTGTAGTACTAGCTCCGTGCCTTTGAGGTTCATATGGTGCCAAGAATCCATATGTATTTTGCCCGGAATGACAAGTATAGGTGGTATGATTTTCCTACTACAGAATAGACGTACGATTTTCAGGGTCTAGGCGTATAGAGCTCCTTTGCTATTCGTGGTATCATAACCTTCTCACCTCCTGGAATTCCAATCCTAAAGCCTGTTTCATCCATATTCCAAATTGACTCTGGCTTTATACCACGCTCTAGTATAAACTCATGGTACTCTCGAAACCACCGTATAATAGTAGACTTATCTTAAGCTTTCGTACGCTGTAGTGCAATAGGCTTTGTAGTGATAAAGTGGAATTCTTAAAGCTCATTCTTAATATATTTAGTAAGCTAGCTCTCTGATGGCGGAGGCTGCAGATGTAGGCTCCGGAGCTGGCAGACTGCAGAAAATATCATACTTCTAGTAGCTCCAAGCCCTAGGTAATACTGCTTAAGGATCCATTTCTTAAGGGCTTCTGACTGTGCAGTAGAGAGCACCTTATTCCTACCACCCTTAGGTGGTAGGTTCCGAGCACGCCGTTTGAGGCTCATCCGTAGTGTTGATTCGGTGTTTTGTTGAGGAGTAGCGGTGAACGGACGCACGTCGCGAAACCGCGCACATCGCTTCTGCTCATTTTGAAACTGCGCGGATCGCTACGATTCAGATTCAGAAGCTTCGGCGGTTTTAATGTGTGGAGAATGTATGTATGAGTAGATCATGTATGAAGTCAGCCTTAGAGTGCATATAGAGTATTATAGCAGAACAGAGTAGACATATGATAAGTTAGTTATAGTACTGGGATCCTACACTAATGGTGTAGCACACGTAATCTTACAGTACATAGTACGGAAGTTCTAGTATGGAAGTTCTAGTATGGAAGTTCTAGTACGGAAGTTTCAGTACCGAGTTCCAGTACGGAAGTTGCACAGTATACCCGCCGAGGAAGATGAGCTTGGTGTGTTGTAGCTCAACGATGCACAGGACTTACTGGCTACGCTGATGCAGAAGTTGAAAGGAGAAAGGAGAAAAAAGAAAGGAGAAAGCAGAAAGCAGAAAGGGAACACACACATTTGGAGATAACCTCTCATATCGAATCGTCGCATCAGGGCGGTGCCTCAAAATACCTTGGCACCACAAGAGACCAGCCAGGCGGGTGGCAGACCCGCAGCCGACGCCTCCTAGACCGCGTCACTGTAACTTACGTCGTGCGCCGTGCGACACCAGCTAAAACCTCACACAACCCTCGCCCCGCATGGCGAGCTGAGGTGCGTCGCCCAACCCAACAACACATTCACAAATCCTCTCACCATCCTACCTAGTCTACCCGCCCGCACCACCAAAACCTAAGAACGACAAAACCATCCTTATCGCAACGAGCACAACGATCACAACGATCACAACGAGCACAACGAGCACAACGAGCACAACGAGCACGCCCTCTCCAACTATAATACCATACTGAAAGCTCACAATTTCCCGAATCGCTCTGGCCGGCGACCCTTAATGGCCTTCTTCACCACACCCACGTCATTCAGACTCGCAAATGGCAGTAATGGCGTCGCCTCCATCGTCAGCAGGTCCTTCACGGCCCGCCCTTTCGATGGTTTCCAGCAGCCCGTCGTGATGAGCCATGAGGCGCATCCGGATCTCGGACGCCTCATACTCCTCGTGTTCGAGGCCGTCATGGAGGTCGTCTGCGTCAGCGTGCCGGGGTATATCATCGCGAGACAGGGCATGTTTAGTGCGGAGCAGCAAAAGTTTGTGGCTCACTTGAATGTTATGCTGTTCACGCCTTGTCTGAGTGAGTTGCCAACCCGATTCGACGACGCTTTCTGTATCCATTACTGACGAAATCTGCAGTCTTCACGAAACTTGCCTCTCAGCTGACGGCCGACACTCTTGCCGACCTCGCTGTGATCCCAGTGATCTTTGCCCTACAAACTCTCGTATCATACCTGGTCTCCATTGGCGTGTCCAAAGCCTTCGGATTAGTCAAGCGTCCTGCGAATTTCGTCACGGCAATGGGAGTTTTTGGGAACTCAAACTCCCTGCCGATATCCCTCGTTATCTCTCTGTCACAGACCTTGAATGGGCTACACTGGGACAGGATACCGGGGGACAATGACGACGAGGTCTCGGCGCGCGGCATTCTTTACTTGCTCATCTTCCAGCAACTCGGACAGCTGGTGCGATGGAGTTGGGGATACCATGTTCTGTTGGCCCCACCGGATCGGCTGGAGATTGAAGATGCGGCGGCTGTGGAGGAGGGGAGATACAGAGATGATGATGGGAGCCAGAGCCACTCGTCGACATTGTTCGAATCGGGCGGTATAACGCCTGTCACCAACACGCATTATGTGCTGCCCGATGACGAGTATGATGATGATGGGAGGAAGCGCTTAAACTCTACCCCGACGGCACCAGAGGTAGACAGTATTCTACACGCTGAACATCTAAGCAACAGCCTCACTTCTTTCCCAACCATCAGACCACAACAGATCAGAGAGCAGCACATCCCCGATGGCATCCGAGGATGGGTCAAGATCGCCGAACTCCAATCGAAACGCGCCGCAAACTTCGTCTCATCAAAGATCAACGCCGTCATCAGGAGTATATTCAACACCCTCCCCTTCCCCGTGCAGAGGGTTCTCGCCAAGTTCTACAGAGGCGCCGCGCGCTTCGGCAACGGCCTATGGGAATTCATGAACCCCCCTCTCTGGGCCATGCTCCTCGCCGGCATCGTTGCCACCATCCCCTCCCTCCAGCGCCTCTTTTTCCAAGAAGGCTCCTTCGTCGCCAACTCCGTCACCCGCGCCATCACGCAGTCCGGCGGCGTTGCCGTCCCCCTCATCCTCGTCGTCCTCGGCGCCAACCTCGCCCGCAACACCCTCCCGCAGACCGCACTGGAGGCGGACAGCGAGGAGAACCAGATTGGGACGAAGCTCTTGGTTGCTTCGCTGATCAGCCGCATGCTCCTCCCGACCTTGATCATGGCGCCGTTCTTGGCGATGATGGCCAAGTATCTGCCGATTAGCATTGTGGATGATCCGATCTTTATTATTGTCTGCTTCTTGCTTACGGGCGCGCCGAGCGCGCTGCAGTTGGCGCAGATTTGCCAGATTAATGGGGTTTATGAGGCGGTTATGAGCAAGATTTTGTTTCAGAGCTATGTTATTTGGTATGTGATCCCCGTCTCTCTCCTTGTGTAGATGTCGAACTAACTAGTATACAGGATTTTGCCTTCGACGCTCATGTTGGTCATGTGTGCGCTTGAGGTTGTGGAATGGGCGAAGCCTATGAGTCCTTGATGAGTGAGCATGGGGCTTCGTTGCCTTTGTCTGACCTTTTGCATGTTGTGGGGTACCGTACCTTTGTTCGGTTGATAGATCAAAAGCAAAAAAGTACATGCAGGAATATGATTCGGGGTAGGAAGAAGCAAGGAAACAATGAACGGCTGGTATGGGAATAAATGGATACCCCTTTATTGTATGTGTACTTTAGTTTTTTGGTTACACGAATATGTGGTTTAGCAGCAGCAGTGTTTAGAGAGATTATAATACTCTTACCAGATGTGTGACCTCATCTCTCTCATGTGTAACCAAAACTGTAGTACAGACCTCTTATTATTGAAGCCTATTAATATGTTAGTATGCACACTTACATGGTATGATAATCCTCATAAGAAACAACCCTCCCACTCCCAGGGCGGAATGTACCGCCGCTGTCCTGGTTGGCTGGTGCTTTTTTGTTGGTGGGGTGATCCTGTGGTGTGTGCTCGGTCCCAATCCCCAAGTTTTTAAAAGTGCCAGTCATTGCGTATGCTTGGTACCCCTACAACTTCTGAGCATAGTTGCTTCAATTGCCTACTATCTTTCTTTCGATCCATACAAACTCCAAATATAGATATATATATATATATATATATTCAACACGCCTCAAGGAAAGAAGCAAGACACAAATTCCGAAAACGGGACTACTGTTTCCATATAGCCCCATTTCATTCTCCTCCAACCGGGGCGGTGTAGGAGATGACAGACAGGAATGCGGCGCCGCCACAAGACCCAGACCGAAAACCCGGCGGTGATGGCAGCACCACCACCAGCAACAGCCACGGAGGTGGAGGAGGTCAGAGGCCGCTGCGGCCCGCCATGATCATGGCCATCCGAGGCGACGATGGCGGGGCAAGCCCCAAGAGCGGGCCTACGAAGGGTATGTCACCCCCCATCCCCCAAAAAATCCGCACATATCTAGTTTTCCCCATGCAAATGCAAGGGGGCGTGAGCGAGATCGGGCAATCGGGCACGAGACACGGCTGTGGGGTGTGTGTTTGCATGCAAGGGCAGCTATCTATTTATCTATCCTTCTTTTGTTGTCTTATGTATACTAATTCGAATTGGTGCACACAGTCGTATCCATTGAAGAGCCCAAGCTCTCCCCACCAATGCAACCCCTCGACACACCACCCATAAAACAATTCACCGCAGGCGTCGGCAAGCGACTCACCGGTCGCCCCACGCCCTCCTCCTTCAGCAACTCCTCCAAGAACTCCCTCGTCAGCCAGGCGAGCCAAGAGGACATCCCGAGGCTGGCTATGAGTCAGTCCGGGGAGAGCTCGTCGGGGAATGGGCCGTATATTCAGAGACATCAACGCCATCATCAGCATGATAAGCTCCTCAGCCAGGTCTCGGAGTGGTTGCATGTCCAGAAGGCTAAGACGGCCGCGAGGAAGGCGAGGAAGCATAAGGCACACCCGCGTGGCGAGGGGGGGAACGAGAATAACAGCCCTACCACCGCCCGCAGAGAATCACAGGACTCGTGCCTGAGCACCATCTCCCTCGAAGACTTGCAATCGATCCTCGAAGACAGTAAAGTGAAATCCACATACCGCCCCAACCCAGAGAGCCCTGTCATCCGCCCGCGCCGACCCTCCTACTCGTCGCGCAAGTACACGTCGCGCCGCTACTCCGTCAATGCTTCCTCGGACACGGAGTACTTCGATGGAGACGTCATAGTCCCCAGCTGCGACGTCGTCCTCGATAACTCCAAGACCCTCAGCTACGCCTCCGGCACCACAACACCCACCACCTCCGGCCGCCGCGCAGACAAAGAGGCACAGGTGTGGGTTACTTTCAAATCGGAGATCCTGAGACTGGCACACACACTCCGTCTTAAGGGATGGCGTCGCGTCCCCCTTGACAGCGGCGCAGACCTCGAGGTCGAGCGCCTAAGCGGCGCCCTCACAAACGCAGTCTACGTCGTCTCCCCCCCGCCCTCCCCTCGGACCCGACCAGTAAATCGAAAGCCCGCCCCTCCAAACTCCTCCTCCGAATCTACGGCCCACAAGTCGAGCATCTTATCGACCGCGACGCGGAGCTCGGCATCTTGAGCCGACTCGCGCGCAAGAAGATCGGCCCGAGATTGCTGGGGACGTTTAGGAATGGGAGGTTCGAGGAGTACTTCATATCCACCACTCTCACGCCCAGGGACCTCCGCGATCCGGAGACGTCGAAGCAGATCGCTAAGCGCATGCGGGAATTGCATGATGGGATTGAGCTCCTGGAGACGGAGAGGGATGAAGGGCCGTTTGTGTGGAGGAATTGGGATAAGTGGGTTGAGAGGTGCGAGCGTGTGATTAGTTTCCTGGATACGTATCCCGAGACGGGGGATGGCGGGAAGAAGGTGCCGGCGTGGAGGGAGAGGGGGTTGGTGTGTGGGGTGGAGTGGTCGGTGTTTAGGGGGATGGTGGAGAGGTATAGGGGGTGGTTGAATGAGAAGTATGGGGGGGTGGCGGGGTTGAGGGAGAAGTTGGTGTTTGCGCATAATGATGTGAGTTTTTCATGTTTATCCTCTCTTTTCATCATTTCTCTCTTTATACCATCGTCTCCTTCTACCCTCTTACCATCCACTCTCCTGTCGAATCGAAACCTAACCCCCCACAGACCCAATACGGCAACATCCTCCGCCTCCTCCCCACCACCGAATCCCCCCTCCTCCTCCCCGCAAACACCCACAAACAACTCGTCGTCATCGACTTCGAATACGCCTCCGGCAACACCCCCGGTCTCGAATTCGCAAACCACTTCACAGAATGGTGCTACAACTACCACGAACCCTTTACCCCCTACCTCTGCAACACCAAATCCTTCCCCACCCCCGCCGAGCAACGCCGCTTCATCCGCGCCTATCTCAACCACCGCCCGCAATTCTCGGGCTTTGCATCCGCCTCCGCGACACCCAAGGTGGTGCCTAGCCCTGGGCCGGGAAACGCGGGGATTTCAGCGTTTATGCTGGATTCAAGAGGGTCGCCGGTGGGGGAGCAGGCGCCGGTTGGGTATGCGGAGGAGGAGCATAGGAGGATTGCGGATGTGGAACGCAGGGTGGATGAGCTGATGGTTGAGGCAAGGTGGTGGAGAGTCGCGAATTCAGCGCAGTGGGTTGCGTGGGGGATTGTGCAGGCGAATATCCCGGAGCTGGAGGAGTATGATGCTGCGTGTCGGACGGCGAGTGCTGGTGCGCCCGCGGGTGAGGTGGGGGAGATGGAGAAGTTGGATTTGGAGGATGGTGCGGGTGAGGAGGTGGAGGGGGGGAAAGGGGGGAATGTGGAGGGCGAGGATAAGGAGGATGATGAGTTTGATTACGTGGCGTATGCGCAGGATCGGGCGATGTTCTTCTGGGGGGATTGTGTGGCGTTGGGGCTGGTGAGGTTGGAGGATTTGCCGGAGAATGTGCAGGAGGCGGTTAAGATTGTGGATTATTGAGTGGTGATGGGGTGGGCGCTGGTGGATTTGTCGGGGCATGTGGTGGGTTTTTTTAATCTGCAGTTTAGCATGATACAAACGATGATACTGTTGATAGTCGTCTGGGTGTGTCGGTTGTGATGGGGTGTGTGTTGAGCCTGTGGGAAGTGTTTGTGCATACGTGACGTCTGTATTTTGTTGTTGCTGCCGTTGGGTTATATCTAGTCGCCGCCTGTACTCAAGCATATATTCCACTGAGCGGCCGCTTGTCGGAGGCCAACCAACTCTCTGTGCTGCGAATCGCCAGTGTGGAGCGCTTTAACTCGTAGTAGAGCTATCCGGAGAGAATAGAGCTGGCGCAGAAGCTCGAAATATTCTTCACTTGCCTCCCTGTTTTCACGGAGCGCATTAACTACCGTTGTGACGAGGTCAACGGCCGCGGTGAAGTCGCCGCCTACGAGGCCAAGTGCAGCAGCCATATCAAGTACAGATGTCTTCACTGCTCAACGCACTCATGAATAATCTTCGATAAAGATAACTGACTTCATATAACAGACTACGAAAACACGATGATGGGGGGAGATGGCTGTGATGGCTGTGATGGCTGCTAGCTGCAAGGCTATGCACGTACAATATACAACATACAACCAATGGTGGCTCAGCACAGCCATTTTGAACAACTCAACAACAAATCGGTCGGCGCTCATTTAGGCGTTTTTATTTTCCCCTTCTAAAATGCCTTGATAGCAGCTATATGCAAAGGTGCTGCAGATTATGGTTTTCACAAGTGCACAACACAAACCTCACCAACGGCGCCTCCCGCCTCCCTACCACGCAACCCTCATTAGATAGATAGATGATAACCCTCTAGCACTTTCCAAGAGCAGCTACAGCCACAAGTTAGCTTTGATATCTTCCATAATGTCTGACAAAAACCAATACGTACCCGCAGTACACCGAGGGTCAGTATAATACCCATTAACGTAGCAGTTAATGGTAGCCAGCTTCTGCCAGGTGCTATTCGGCGTCAGTTTATCCAGTTCAACCACGCACCTCATTGTGAGGCAGTGAGAAAGAGCCACTTACCAATTGCCCTGATAGCAGTCGCCCGTCTTGTAGCAGCCAAAGGGGTAAGCATTTCCCACTTCAATATATACACTCTCGCCAGTATCAGGGTAGCTGAAGCCTGGTCCCTTGCGACAGTTCACCCGTTTGGAATCGGAATTGATGATAATGCAAGTGGTACTTTGCACGCCTCCAAACCTAGTGCTTCAGGAGAGTTGTCCTGGGCCTCTGATCGGGCGTCAACGACATCTGCGAGGGCAGTAACATCTTCAATTGTTGGAGCGGCCAGAGCAGTAAGGGGCAGCAAGAGCCCGACAAGTGCTGTGAGTTTTTGGAATTTCATAATGAAAATCGAGAATTTAGATAACGAGGTAGGATAGACGGATTGGAGATTTGAGCGGAGCCTTTGTTAAGAATATAAAATGTTGAATTAAGTGGATTATCTCAGTACAGCGGTAGAAGTAAAAGTAATAATGGTGAATAGCTGTTTTTTAGTTCTAAAATGATCATATAGAAAGGCTGTCGAGGCTAGTATGCAAGTAGGGATTAATCACATTGACAAGGACGACTTTATAGTCCTATATTAGCAAGCCTGTACAACCTCATTTAGTCTAGCTACTATCCTAAGCGGATTTAAAGCTACTAGGCTAATCCCTTTTGACCCAGATCAAGTCCTCTCACGGCTAGACGTGAATTTACAGATGCTATCTCCTTCTCTATCTACTTAGGCTCCTAGCCCTTAGGTTCCTAAAACACCACATAATACAGCTGAATTGCAGTTGCATAGTACAGTGGTTTAAAGCCTAATTTGCTACTGTACACAAAGTCCTCCTAGTCCCAACTGTTCAAGCAGTCAAGCAGCTAATTAAGGGCTGTTAAATGGCTATGCATTCAGCCACGATTCTTACAGCTGAGATTACAAGTTTACAGGCAGCAAATGAAAGAGTCAAGAGGAAAAGGCAAAAGAGAACGTCATACATAGGTAGGGGAGGAGCTTCAACAGCTACAGAGGTTTAGGAAGGTCAAAACCAGGCTGTAATTGAAGTGGAAGAGGAAGTTTAAGTGGTTCAACAACCTAAGATCAGAGTATTGAATCGCGCACTACGTATGTGTAGTATATGTAGATCATTAGAACACACAGCTTATTGCGTACAGTATTATCTTATTAAGTCGATACATGATTAGTCAATTTTCTAGATAACTTGATAACTTGATAACTTTCTTCAGATCCTTCCATTCGTCATACAAATCACGATACACACTATATTAAGTCCCTTTTCCCAATTATCAACTTAAGCTAATTACTGGATGTCATACTGACATTCGTTGCACTGAGTTTGCTATCAAACTCAAGAGAAAACTTAGAAATCTCCTCCTCAAACCTACAAGTCACTATACATATTTTGGCTTATCACACCAACAACAAGAGCAATACTACTCAACGATTGCTACAACCCTCTATGATTCATTAACCACATAGCATATCTCTACAACCCTCTATGATTCATTACACATCATCACTCCTTAGTTACTGGGCTAATATGTCATACTGACATTCGTTGCACTCAGTTTGCTATCAAACTCAAGAGCAAACTTGGAAATCTCCTCCTCAAACCTACAAGTCACCATACATATCTTGGCTTATCACACCAACAACAGAAGCAATACTACTCAACGATTGCTGCAAACTCTTCTACTACATCTGTTTATGCTACATACATCATGGCATATCATTTGGACACTCATTAAACAAGTTATTAAGAAAATCTCCTCCTTAAGGGGGTGGGCCAATACTACCACATGGCATATCTCTACCAACTAGAGGCCTAGGAACATGAACAATAGCTCTAGAAGCTTCTACAACCCTCTATGATTCATTACACGTCATCGCTCCTTAGTTACCCACAAGATTGGTTAAGTTATGACATAATTTGTCTATAGGTACTCTGACCTTGGACCTCCTTTTCACTTCCTATAGGCTAGGAACCCAAGAGATGGTTCTATGGGATTCTCTTACGTTCACTACATGATTAGCAAGCTAGTTGTGGGTCGCACTTGATTTCTAATACATTTACCAAGCCTGGTTAGTCATGGAAAGTCATGGAAAATGAGAGAACTACACTCCTTTGGCATAAATAGGATTGCCCTTTCCTTAAGAAAGGGCAAGCAGGCAATACAGTAAATCGACTAGCACATACTTCTACGTCTTTTCCAAGCTTCCAAGCATTGATCTTGTTATTCTCTGTTTTTGAAAAGTCAGTGAGGTGCTAACCTCTGACTTACCCCTGAGTTCTCAGACTCAACATTTGTTGCAACTTGTCTAAACCACTTCACCACATCATACACCTGATTGCTGCGTTGTGGAATAGTCTAAGCTACAACCCTTTGGCTCTGTTTCCTAAGACAGTGTGTTGTCTTAGTAAATTCATCCCTTCCTTGGGTGGCTAGATTCTCATATCTGGTGCACCCACCATTACATAATACTACCACATGACATATCTCTACCAACTAGAGGCCTAGGAACATGACCGATAGTGTAACACTGACTTCTAAATGATAGAAGACACAGAGGTTTCTTGCGTAAGGTTGACTTGACAGAGAATGCAGGGATTAAACACAAAGGCTTTCCAAGTAACTGTTACGACGGAACAAGAAGGCTGGCCAACTACAGGACAGGAAGGAGGGAGGTCGCATGAGACCGGCCCTGGTACCTGGAGGGGCAGCAGGGAATAGTAGTTCCGAAAGTATCACGTGACGGACTCGCAGGATGATGAGAAGAGTCCTAAGAGTCCAGGACTCCGAGGACTCGAGTGAGTTCCCAGGAGTCCACTAGGCACGTGATGGACTCGCAGGATGATGAGAAGAGTCCTAAGAGTCCAGGACTCCAAGGACTCGAGTGAGTTCCCAAGAGTCCACTAGGCACGACGCCACTATATAAGTAGATAGTATTTCCTTAGATAGGAGCTTCGTGCTCAACTCAATACAGTATTTGTTATATACTAGTAACGTGTTACTTGAAGCCTTTGTGTCTGATCCCCTGCCTCCTCTGATAAGTAAACCTTTACGCAAGAGAACCTCTGTGTCTTCTATCGTTTAGAAGTCAGCGTTACACTTTGAGCACCACTTCTACGAGGTACCGGCTTACACACAAAGCAACATGTCTGTCGTCAGTTCGAAGGGGAAAAACCCCACCACGCCAACTTCATCTCAGAGGTCTAAGCCTGAGAATGAGGAGATGCCCGATGCACCCACCGTCAACGAACTCAAGGAAACTCTACGCGTCAAGTTGCCCGACACTTACTCCGGCAACCGAAAGGAACTTGAGGTGTTTTTGCTACAGGTCGAACTGTACCAGCACTTCAATGACGAGAAGTTTCCCACCCAGGAGAGCTATGCCCTGTGGACTGCGTCCTACCTTAGGGGGGAAGCCCTGCGATGGATCGAACCATTCCTCAAGGACTATTTCAAATATGAAAGTACCAATGGAAGCATGACAACTATGCAGACTATGTTTGGCAGCTGGAATGGATTCTGTAAGGAAATCCGATGCATGTTCGGAGACATCGATGAGATTAAGACCGCAGAAGACCATCTGTTTGCACTTAAGCAGACTGGCAGCGCCCTCACATACTCCACAGAATTCCAGAGATACGGCAATCAGACAGGATGGGACGCCAGCGCACTCATCAGCCACTACCGACGTGGGCTGAAGAGCCATATACGTATGGAACTTGCCCGTTTGGAACAACAACCAACGGACATGGTAGCGCTAATCGAACATACGGTCCGAATCGACAATCGACTATACGAATTCCAGAAGGAACGTCGGACCTATGACAAGCCCAAGAAAAGTTACCCCTACCGGGGAAACGAGGGCAGACGACGGGATCAACACCCGCGAGACAACCGTTGGTCGGACCCAATGGAACTCGATGCCACGTTCAAACCTGGACGAC